ACACCCACACCCTCTCTTCTGAAAATACATTTAAATGTATTTGTTATTCTCAATATCCAAAAAGATATTCATGTTCATTATAGATCAAGAAAAAAAAATTCTTATTGTATATTGAAAATTTTTTTATTTTCACAAGAAATTTAAAAAGATAATTAATCGAAATAAAAATACTACAAAAAAAAAAAAGCTAGAATGAAAAATAATAACAATTAAAGATGATTATTATTGAATGTTTTTAGTCTATATGAATAAAATCTTTACTTTCCAATTCATCATTATTTTCATCAAAACATAATTTTATCATAGAACGTGTAACACGATCACTTGCAAGTTGTGATATTTTTGAATTTAAATCAATATCATCAAAATCTGATCGAAGCCAATCTAACATTTCAATTTTAACTACAGGTGCTAATGCTGCTGGTATTAATGGTTGCTTTTCATTTGAATCGATTGTTATATCATTTATTATTAGTGATGGTAATCTATCCTCTTGATCATGATCAAAATGTTCATAATTTTGTGCATGAATTTTATAATGATTTTTCATACGATATGCCGATGGAATATATTGATTACATATTCTACATGTACGTTTTTTTAATTCCTTTTTCACTGATGAACAACAGAAATCAAATGGTAACATTTCATTCTGAAAAGAAAAATCTTTTGTTTTTTATGACACTAAATTAACCAATAATATGTGTTTTTCTGTCAAAAAAAATGCGGCAAAAGGACTAGCCTTTGCTTGGTTTTGACTATAAAATGGTTCCGACTTTAGCAAAATTTACCGATGTATTATAAAAAGACCCAAAGAGAAAATATGAAAAAATTTCGACTTACATTCTGAAAACTCAACCAGATCAAATTTCGAAATTCGAGTTGGTCGGATCTCCATCAGACAACTTTAGGATAATCCTCTCTCAATTTACGATCGAGATCAACATATTCTCAACTAATGTCGACGCCAAAAGTAAATGGTGAAAACTCTGAGAGGAATATCTTCCGAACGGATACAGCTAGCCACCTGCGGTTTTCATCAATCGAAAGAGGAGGAGTGGGGGCGTCTTTTTCTCCGATAATGTATAAGACGGAATCCTTTTATAACTAATCATATTCGAAGAAGATGAAAAAGAACCCATGAGAATGACCTTCGAGCTAGATGAAATTTTGATTTTGACTTTTGATTTAGATAGAGGGACTTGAGATCTATAGCTCCAGATACAAGGCAAATGGTTGTCTTGTTACATTCTAACGTTGCGCAAATGAGATCATGTACTTACATGCGCAAATCATAGGGATTTTCGCTAGTTTTTTACTAAGTTTTTACAGTTTATATCAAGGTAGCTTGAGATTTCGAGGAAAATGTAGGAAAAAGTAAGAAAGCGCATTGTATCTGGAATTATAGATCTCAAGTTTCTCTATCTAAACCAAAGCTCAAATCAAAATTTCATCTAGTTGACAGGTCATTTTCATGGGTTCTTTTGCATGTTCTTCAAATAGGATTAGTTATAAAAAGATTCCGTCGTATACATTATCAGAGAAAAAGACGCCCCCACTCCTCCTCGTTCGATTGGTGAAAACCGCAGATCGCTAGCTGAATCCGTTCGGGAGATATTCCTCTCAGAGTTTTCACCATTTACTTTTGGCGCCGACATTAGTAAATAGTTAAGAAAAAATATTAATTTCTTATATTTTGTCGAATTGTTTCTATGAAGCTGTGTATGCAAAAGAAAATGATGAATGAACAGTTGCTATACAGGACGCAACAAGTCTAAAATACTCCGTAGAGCTTTCCTCAATAAAATTACAGGTGCGGGTACCCATTCAAGTACTTATTCAGTAAACATACTGCTATGGGTATCCAATGCAGTATCTAAATTGAGATTTTTCGAAGTGCTCATATCAGATACCTTGCTGAGGCTTGTCTCAGTACATGGATATCCTTAGCTCAGTACATTCACTAGGCCTGATAGACATGATCAGAAGTAAGAATGAAATTCTTTCATCGATATTTCGATTTCTATTCAATTATTGATAACAAACAAAATTTTTTTGTTTTTCTAACCTGTGTATGTTGAATAACAACACCATGATATTGAATTCTTTGAAATAATGAACCATAAAATTGTCCTCTTTGATAATCTCTTTCTGCCACTCTAATACCATATGGTGTACGTTCAAATGGTACAGGTGATGGTAAAAATCGATGAGGAAATACTTCATCATAATTTGAACGCCATGGTCCACAACATTCAATTGAATTACAACGAACTATTTGTAATGTATATTGTGTTTGTAAAACATGTATAGCACACCAATATTCATCAATATCATATTTTGGTTGTTCTCCAGTTTTTTCTCTTGGTGCACGAGCATTTTCTTGATAATATTCTTCCGATTGTTGAATACGAAATTCATATCCTTCTTCTGCTTCTTCTTCAGCACAAGTTCTATTTTTTTTTTGAAAAATAAAAATTAAAAAATTAAAAAAAAAATAAAACTAACTGTCGTAAAAGTTCATCTATAACCATTTTAACATCAACTTGTCGACGTTCATCATCTGTTGTAGCTGGTGGATTAATATATTCAGCAACACATGGATATCCATCAATAACTGATAGATTCCATCTTTCGGCTAAGATTTGTCCAGCTTTACGAAAATTTAATTTTTCTAAATCAACATTCATTGTTCCACCTGATTCATTTAAATGTGAACCAAAATGATCATGTGGTAAAATAAGACCAGCTAAATCATGAGATAATGGTGCCATACGACGTTCAACTATATTATAAGCTGATTGACCAGGACTTTCAAAAAAAAAAAGAAATATATTAATTAGAAAATAAATTCAAAACAAAAAAACAAACAAACTTACGCATGTGTAAGAATAAAAAGTGCATCTAAATTATATTTTTTAAATTTTCTAATACTTGCAACAAGTGTTTTTGGAAAACGTGGATTTTCATCAGGACCACCATCAACTGTAATAATTAAAATTGGTTTAACTTGTCCAGTTTCATCACGTGCTACTTGTTCAAATTCTTTTAAACAAACAAGACGATCAAAATCTAGTGCATGAGATTCAGCACTTGAAAATTCATGTTTAGCTGAACGTATTGCAACATATGTTGGACCTGAATAACCTAAATCACCCTCTTCAGATAATAAACATGCTGCATATACACTTGGTGTTAATTGATGTCGAGGTGCAACTGTCCAATCATGATCTGGTAAACGTATACGATAATCCAAATGCATAAGCATTGGTGCTTGAATTTTAGCTGCAGGTAAACCTAATGGAACTTTACATTTATCATCTTGAGATAAATAAAAAACACAATCATTGCCGAATATAGAAGCTAAATCTTTCATATAACGTATTGTTGCTGTAGCAAAATGACCATCTTCATGTTTTCTATGATCATCATTTTGAGCACGACGAAGACGAACTGGAACAGTATTTACATGACGACGACCATCTCTTGATTTTGCACGATGAGGTAAGAGACTAAAACATTTCAAAAAAAAAAAAATAATAATAATAATAAAATTCATATTAAAACATCAAAATAATTTTTTTCTTTATCAATTGTTTCATATCAAAAATATATATCATGCCTAATGTTCATAATATCATTTTCTTAAGACTACAATTTTCTTTTTGGTATGGATACCAACATTGGTTTACGACTAATTATTGACGAGATAAAGATAAAAAAAAAAAGAAAATTTCGTTTTTTCTCATTTCTATTTATTTCACTATGGATCGATATTCGAAAAGTATTAATCACTTGAGAGATTTTTCGAATGATTACTTTCCCAATTTACTCTATTCAAACAAATAGCGATCTAATGTAGTTTTAAGCATTCAGAGTGGAATGATATTTATTTAGGTCAATCCAAAAGTAGTGGCGAAGGTATCGTAATTCCTTATAGAAAACATGGAGAGATTTTTCTTCTATACAGTCTTCAAGAGAAAGAAAAACTCTATTTTTCTATGCTATTTGATCATACTTAAACTAATATCATAATAATAAAATCGAAGATAAGACTAACTGGTAGCATTAGATCATAATAGATGTGGCACTTTTGGATTTCATTTTATCATCACTTAATACGTAGTATTAAAAAAACAAAATATACAAGTACAAGACGTAACGTGCAAAGCTTTAAAATTTACAAAGAACAATTATAAAGAGATGAGATAGAAAAAAATCGAATTCGTCTTTTACCAAAAAACAATCTCGTTTTTGTTTAGTCGAAATTTAGTCGCTTAGAATTTTGTCCATTTTGAAAACAAAAAGTGCAAGCGGTCCTTTATAAATTGTAGAGCTTTTCACACTGCATCCTATGCTTGTATATTTTGTTTTTTTAATATAACATATTAAGTGATGATAAAATGAAATTCAAAAGTGCGCCACATCCATTATGATCTAATGCTATCAATTAATCTTGTCTTCTATTTTAGCATTATGATATTAGTTTAAGTATAATCATATAACATAGAAAAATAGAGCATTCTTTTCTCTTGAAGATTATGTAGAGAGAAAAGTTTCTCAGTGTTTTCTATAAGGAATTATTGTGAGCATCATAAATTCATTCAGAGACGATCCAAGGTTCTCGAAGAAGTAACTTTAGAGCTGAAATTTTAATAACGACTAGAAAATTGTCAATTGATAATTTCCAGACTAATATCTCTTTAATCATTAAAAAACAAACAAACAAACAAAATAGACCAACTTTAACCCTTCGAGTCCTGGCTTCTTTTTTTTTGCGAAACTCGAATTTTTTTTAATGAAATTTTTAAATATGATTTTTATTTCTTTACGAAGAAATTACAATTTTGTGTCGAAAAAATCATTAGTAGTTCATCTTTGAAGCAATGAATAATACATAGAAGTGCATCGCAGTCAGGACAAATATATCGTGTATCACATCGCATATTATGCGATGTGTAAACGATGCATTTTCTTCGAGACTGGTTTAGATAAGCGAAGGGAAATATCGAGCAGTTAGACGAAGAGGAGAATCTCTTGTCGATAGTCTTCTAATAGTAGTCGATCTTTATGGTCCGTACTTTGTCAAAACTCCTCTAATTATTTTCAAGCTGAAAATTAGATAGATGAGAGAAGAATATTTATTATTCTGCATTTTGTAAATTACAAATGCACTATATATTCCATATCCAATCAAAAGTCGTTAGAAGTTTATCTTCTGACGATAAGTCAGATTGAGAGTTATTCATAATTTTCCAATTTCTTGCTCAATCAAACGTCTTTTTCTTGCAGTTGCCATTGTGAAAATGTATAAGATGGATCGCTGAAATATACGATAAATATCCACAGAAGAATATATTCGGTTCATTCCTACTCTTATCGTTTACTATTCAAACGATGAGTATATATACGCTACGATTTCGAAACGGAAAGAACTTATTAGATTTTCTAGATAAGATAGGACTAATTAGAACTTTATGGAAAGATAGAAACTAACTAGAGAGAATAGTAGATGATCAATACAAACAAACGAACGAAAGAAAGTGCATAGAATATAGATGTGTAATACTAACAAGCAGAAAGAAAAGAAAGAAGGATTGTACTTAATGTGATATCACCTAATAAACGATAAAAATATGTCAAAATAATTAAAGAATATACTAGAAGCACCTTTGTCAAATATGCATCGTCGGGACTCAAAGTGTTAATATTCCAAAAAAAGTCGGATTGTTTTGTTAATCTTCTAATTTATGACTTATCTTTATAGAAATACATTAACTTACCGATAATAAAGTGTTGTTCTTTTAATATCATAACCTCTTTGTTTAATTTTTTCTCTTAAATCATCTAATGTTAAACAAGGTCGAATAGTTTCTGATCGTCTTCGATCATCACTTGCTCCACCAACTCTTGCAATTTCTTCAATAATTTGTAATAGATCAGGACATTCTTCTTCAACTCGTGGTCGACCAGTACCACGACGATAAAGTTTATTTAATTGTGGATGTAATTCAGGTTTGGTTTCAAATAAATGTTCAACCTAAAAACACAAAAAAAAACAAACAAAATCATGAAATTGAAATGTAACAATAATTAATACAATTTGTTTTCGTCTAATTCGATATCTATCTGAAGATCTTTGTTTTGATTGAAGACGTTTTAATTCAAAAGCTTTCTTTGTTCTATCTTTCATTAATTGTTTTAATTGTTTTCTATTTTCAGATGTTGATAAACCCATTTGTCTAACTTGTACTAATGAAGCAATACGATCATTAATATCACTTAATTGTTTATAAAGACGTTCTTGTGCTGGTTGTTTTTTTTGTTTTGATAATGGTTCTAATGGAATACCTTTTATAGGTGGTAATTCTTTTGGATCTTCAAATATTTCTTCTTCAACTGGTTTACGTTTTCTAAGACGATAATCTAAATCTCTTTTTTTTCTTTTTCTTTTCTTCAACAATATTTTCAACTTTATCATTGTCATCTTCTTGATCATCTTCATCAAGATCATCAAGATCATCAAGATCATCTATATCATTTGATTGTTTATCATCTGTTGTATTTTGATTTGTTGTATCATTTGATTGATCAATTTTTTGTTTTTTTTTTACTGATCGAATACGATTAGTTTTTGATAATTTTGAAGAATGTAATAATGATGATGATGATAAACATTCAATACCTTGATCTGAAGGGAATTCAAGTTTATTGTATATTTCTAAATATTCCTCAATTTTCTCTTTAACATATTCTTCATTCCATTTTATTTCATTCCATTCAAGTTGTGCAGCACGATGTTTTATCTATATATTTCAAATGAAAAAATTATTATTATTACTACCTTTTTTTTGAATTAAAAAATAAACTGACAACTCGTCTTTCATCAGGTCGAGCTTTCATATAAGCATCAACAAATGTTTTATAAAGACTGGGACCGTGAAGCTTTTTGTTTGCTTTTGTAGGCATGACGAATATTGTTGATCAACTGAGACAGTGCAAATAATATGACACTCAACAAAAAAAAACAAAAAAAAAAGAATATATTAATAAAAAAAAGAACAAGAAAAAGTGACAATCACTATAAAGGGTAAAAAAAAACTTGCGAATAAAATCGCCTTCACTCTTACTTATAAAGAGTGACAAACTCAAGTAACCAATAGTTATTCCTCTATTGCGTCTTTCGATGATAAGAACGTTATGTATTCAATACAAAAGAACGCAAAACACGAAAAAAAAAAAAACGATATATGTACGAATGAATAAAATGAAGGCCTCAATCATGCACAGAAATGTACTTGCCTACCTTCGAGAGATAGGCCACTTGATCTGTGTATTTTGTGAAACATGATTTAAAAGGAAAGTTGAAATATAGGGATAGATATTTGAAGCTCCCCCCCCCCTCCTCTTTCTCTTCCGGACGTCCTATATATCTTAGCAACGACTCGTCACAAATGTGATAAAAATTTTATTAACGACTTCTCCTCGTGTTTCATAGACCTTGACAAGCGTTGTTGATATGCAATTAAAGACCTTGTATTAATAACGTGCTGTCATAATGTATGAGTTACTTTTTTTATTCCATATCTATAGGATTATGTAATAGGATAGTAAAGACATTTGTGCCAAAATAGATAGAATAAAATAATATTATTGTGATTAAAGACAGTAACTAGATCGTATTTTATATTTTTGTTCCACAGAAATTGCACAAACCGTTTTGTCTTTAATATCAAATTTTTTTCTGATAAATTCAATATATTACTAACAAAACAGATATAACTGAATTTTCATAATAAATGATAAGATAACAGCGGCTATTCAAGTAAAATTCATCAATGAAAATAATGTTTTGAAGAATTCTAATTACTTATTATGTCTAAAAACAATCGAAAAATAATAGACTATTAACTGGCGTTCACTACATCTGCAGAACATGAGACCATCAGAGAAGGTGTATGTGTGTGAACGATGGTGGGTTTAAGAAAATATCCATACCCACTCACTTTACATCATTTAAGCCTCCCACATGAAAGTCGATTTTTCGAAGCGATTTATACATATACAGATGGTCGCCGCTATAATTTAAAAACCGTCCCGGCTTGTTAACTCATATCCTTATTGTGAAAATCTTACTTGCGCACAAGATACTTGTGACCAATAAATTGACTATAACTCGTGAGCATATTGGGAAGATATTTTACTCATAATATATTCCAGCCTCGGCTAATATGTGTTCTGAAATGTTTGGTTAAAATTGAATGAAAAATAAAAAATTTTATTTGTGAAGATGGACTTCACTTAATAATGATGCATTCTGTTTGTGTTTACACATTTTGTTTAACTCATTTGTTGAATGTTTTATGAAAAGTTAATCAATTTTTGATATTTTTCTGTGAATTAGATGTTTAATATAACTGTTAATTAATAAATTCGATTACTATCACATGAAATATCTGTTAGAGTGAAGATGTAGAATGAGTGTAAAAGTTACATCTACTCTCAGGATTATTATGTCTCTCTTATCTTTAAATAAAGTTCAATCTAAAAAACAAAAAAAAGGTTTTTCACACTATATCATGCTAATTTGACAAAAGAATTAATCTCTGTAAAATAATATAGACGAAAAAAAAAAGTGTTCTTCAACTTTAGTAGCTAAAATAAATGTATTAGTTTAGTTCGAAATCATAAGATTTGTTCATCAACACTTTTTATGTAATACATTTATTGTGATATTTTGACAACGACCTTTCCAATGTGTTGTTGTGACCATTGATATTCGTAAGCACTCTTCACATCTTCGAATTCAAAAACCTTGTCAATAATTGGCTTAATCTTATGTGTCTCAATAGCAGCATTCATTGCATTAAATTGCTCGACACTGCCAATTAGAACTGCATGAATGCATGCACTCTTCATCAATGTTCCCATAACAATTTCTGATCCAGTTATGCTGGAACCGTTTCCTTGGCCAACGAATCCAATAAGATGAATCGAACCACCGAATGCAAGTGCTTCAAACGATTGCTTTAATGTTTTATCACCACCAACTTCAAGAATATGATCGACTCCTCGTCCACCAGTCAATTCTTTAGCTTTCTTACCCCATTCTAGAGTTTCAGAATAATTGATCGTCAAAACATTCATTTCACCAAGATGCTTCTTGACTGTAGCAATTTTATTATTTGATGACGAGGTAATGATAACTTTTGCACCAGCTGCTAATGCAAATTGTGCACCAAAGAGACTAACTCCACCGGTACCTTGAACGAGAACAATTTGACCCGGTTTTAATGTTTTGTCAGAAATTCCATATAAAGCATTCCAGGCTGTTAATGCTGCACAAGGTAGTGTCGCAGCTTCTTCAAAGGTAAGCGAGGATGGAATCTTGACACAGCTGAGAGCTCGAAAGACACCATACTGACGAAGACAACCGTCAAGTCCACCTCCAAGACTTGACATAAATGCTTCTTCTGTAAGCTGTCCACCAATATG